CCTTGCCATTCCTCAGAACATGCTACACTAGCGTTTACCTCTGGGCTTTTGCTGTTGCTGGAATCTCTGCCGGCTCACTGCTCCTCTGGACATTCGCTTAGTTCTCACCCCCACTAACTTCACGTCTCTACTCCAATGACTGCATCTTGTCAAATGTGCACTCTACTATGGCTCATAAAATAGAAAGCCTGTCCATCATCCAAAGGCCAGGGTTCTCTTCTTCTGCTTTTTCTCAACATGATTCATCTGGTCTTTGTCTTCCTCTCTCTGTGCAGTTCTGGAACCCATTCACAGGGCTAGAGCTCCCCATGTATACTGCTTTCCAACTCCCTGCCCAGTGACAGCAGGTGGCAAACTTAAAAACCCCACTTTCCCAGTCCTATTGCCACTAAGTAGGACATTACATGGAGAGCAGCATTATTTGTTCCTTTTATTCACTGCTGTTTTTCCAGTGGCCAAAACAGTGCATAACTCATCCCTTGATGACCATTTGTGCAATCAATAAAGAATGAAGTAAAATAAAAGCCATCACTTTCTATAGAGATTAAGAAAGCAAACCGTAATCAATTTTTAAAAATTAATTTTATTCTAATGTGCCTTAAGAGTTCTTGTGGGGCTAAAACCCATGTAGAATTCAACTGTGACCTAGATGTTTATAAGGAATCCATACAGAGATTAATACTGGATATGTGAAATGAACTGTCCTTAACAAACTGAAATGAACCGGTAGTCTGATAAGTACATGAAGCAGTTTTCTTTGTATGCCTGAGACAATTTGAGAGTAAAACTGAACAATATTTTCCAAGGCTAGTGCCAATCGCTGGCATTGCATAGCTTTCATATAATAAAGTAGGGAGAATGTACCAGTGGCTGTACCATGAGACTGCTGCTTACAGAATCCAGCGGAGGACTGTTTCCAAGAAGCAACAGGCAAAGTTTGCTCTGACCTAAGTCTTTCCCAATTCTGCATCTCTGCTTTCTTATGTTGTCTCCTTTTGAACACACCCAAGGTCTCAATGCCTACTATGAAGCCAGAGGATGGCAATGTGGCCATTAACGTCATAGCATCTTTGTAGCTTTTCCCATGCGGCCCATAAGTGAAAAACACACTTGGTGTGTTGACTCAGAACACATAGTTGGGCATATGAGAAAACTTCCACTCAATTTGGAGTGCACATGACTGATGCTTTTAAATCCAGTCCAGTCTATTGCATTTCATCAGAGCTACACATGAGCCACTAAATTGATCTGTTGGGTCAGAAACTACTAACAAATCAGAGTGAAAAATGCTTTTAAAGTAAAAAAAACCCAAAAAACATTTGAAGTAACGCTCCAAAGAGTGCAAGGGGATAGCACAGACGAAACACATGCGCCTTGGCACTTGCCCTTACACTTACTTCATAATCCTACGCAAGATGCAAGAAACAGAAAGAAAATAGGACTTAGACTTTAAAGGATAAGATTTCTTTTTTCTGTTTTTTTTTGCATTTGGATAAAAAATCAAAATGTTTTTCCAATTAGAAATTTCAAAATTGATTACTTGACCAAAGGCAACAGACAGAAAAACAGATCCGGAGTTGGGTGTCTCATGTAGGGAGTCCACATTTAAATTCATTAACAGGGCAGCACACACAAGCTTCTTCCATTTCCTTAAATGTTATTGCAAATCACAGCAGGCCTAGAAAACAGTTCATTTTCAACTACATGGTGAGTTTTAATGGAATGGGACACTGTGAAAAACAAAAATAATATGAGTACACAGATAAATATTTACGGGGTGCCTGGGTATTTTGATAAATTTCAGTTCTACAAATGATCTTTCTGCCTGTGTCAACTAGAAGCTTTACAGAATGTCTTGCATTCATCTGTCCTCCTATTAAGCTGCTTGATAGTCCTCCATTTCTCAGCTTTCCTTGCTCTCCACTGATGTCTTTATGTCTCTGTTCTTCTACTCAAAATTCTGTTGCTTTTGCTCCAGGCATCTTAATGGTGTCCTGTCTGGCTGTCCTCTGCCACTGTGCTTTCCTCAACAAGGCATTCAACTGTACTCATGCTGCAAAGTGCCAGCGGACAGCGAGTCCCTCCTTGAGCCTACAGAGTCTGAGGAATCAAAAGGGACCCCTTTCCGAAGCACCAGAGCCTAGACTCGGGAGGGAAAGAGATGCCCAGCAATGGTGAAATCAACTGAACTCCCTAATGGGACTTCCCCTCCACCCAGCATGTGCTGTGTGAAGCACTCTTAACATTTCATGTAAATTGTGCTTTTATTTATCCATTTTAAACTGAGACTTTCTCTGTCAACGTAAAGACTTTCTAATTTAAGTGAATAAAATGAAAATTGACTCCTGAAAATCTGATTTGAAATTTTAAATAATAAAAAAGGAAGAAGGAGTCAGTAGGGGTTACAGCCCAATGGTAGAGCCCTGGTCTGGCAAGTTGTATACCCTGGGTTCAATCCCCAGCAAGTAAAAAAAGATAACAACAGCAGCAGCTACTATTTAGTGAATGTTTATCAAATAGCAGCATAAGTTAAAATAATGCTGCTCCGATTTTGCTGCAAATTGGTCTTTTAACACCCTGATGCCCATACCACATCTATATTAGTAAAACTGATGTAGCACCAGCATCTATGGAGAAGGGAAAAAGGCACTACTTTTTAGTTTCCCACCCAGTTCCCATGAGCTAGTAAAGTTGAAAACTCCGTGGGGATGTTTTTCTAATGAATTATTTCCTTGACTCCTCCTAGCAATCCCATGAAGTACTTATCATTCTCACCACGGACTCTATGTGGAAGAAGAATGAAGTTTAGGAAGGCCACACAGGTAATCTTCCATAGGATCCAGCTTTGCAAAATATTAGAGTGTGGAGGCCCTTACGCACCAGCAAGGAAGAATGGAAGAAGAAAGCCGAGAGAAAGCAATCGGCCCCTCAAAGAAAGTGTTAACAGAGTCAACAAAGCCAAAGTACTCTGAGTGTTAAAAGTCTGTTCTCTAAACAAACCCTTCAAGATCTAATAGTGGTTTATCATCTGAGCGGAGCACAGATGCTACTCTGTTCGTTCACCAGCATTCAATAACCATTTATCACACCACATCCATAAACGGAACACTTAACTGATAAGCTAGCTGTGTACTGCAATAAAAGAGACAGATTCCAGCCTGAAACTCTCCATGCGGCGGGAGAAGTGACTGTGAATACAGATGCCAGAGACACAGCAGTGTCTGGGGTGGTGTAGACAACTGTCTTATCCAATATCGATAGAGAAATTTTAAGTTAGGCTAATAGACTGGCATGAAGAGACAAATGTCACAGCGAAGTCATTGATACCTTGTGGTCCTTAGAACTAATAAGTGTATATGAAACTTGGTTAAGATGCTGTTGGGAGAAGAGTAAACGAGATTCTTCCCTACGCTAAACACTGTGAACAGTTCTGAAAAATCAATAAAGCATTCATTATAAGCTGAAAGAATAATCCATTGAAATTCCCTACTACAGAGCAGTGTCAGTGAAACACATTTAGAAAACTTCTTCAAAAGGTTGGACTTCTCTTTCTAAATGTCTTTAGTGTTTGCATCTCACTGCACATCACCCTGAGCCTGCCAGCCCACACCAGCCTCCGTGTGCCTGCCCTGCGAACTTGCCAGCGCCCGGAGTTCCCGTGTTCCACCCCTGCAGAATACTCATCCCAGGAATTTTTTTTCTTGTATCTCCAAAGCAATAGATCATTTTGGATGTCAAAGAATTTTTTTTTTACTTTTAAGGGATAAAACAAAATTGTGGGAAGGCACTCAAAAAGAAAATCGCTAGTTTCATATCAATTATGGAGAGAGGCATTGTGCTCTTCAATGGCAACTGTACTCACCTTTTTGTTAATAACACACTCAGCTAGAAAGAAACACTTGAAGAACTAAAATTTAAATATGATCAAAAATACTTTCAACTGTGACTGCAAGTCAGTACATCTGCTTCTAGCCCATCAGACTAAAAAGTAGGCATTGTCTTCATCCAACACTTTAATCTTCAAAAAACACACATCAACTGCAAGTCTTTCATTGAATAGTTCGTTAGCAAGTTTTTCAAACCAGAATAAGTTGCTCTGAAAGTATGCTGGTCTGCACTAGTAACATTTTCATGTTAAAGATCACATGTTTTTCCGTCATTGGTAGAATTATTTTATTTATTTATTTTTTAACGGAACAGGGGATTGAACTCAGACCCTTGTGCTTGGCAGGGAAACGTTTAGTCCACTGAGCCACCTCCCCTGCCCCAAATTATTTTAATTGTATAGCAATCAAGCTAGAGAATCTTCATTCATCCTACCTAAAGGTTAGTTCATTTATGCTTATGAGGCTGAAAGACATTTTTTCAAATAATTTCAACAACATCTTAGCCATTTAGAATTATCCAGTACAGGTTACATATTCCTTATCTAAAATAGTTAGGATAAGAACAGTTTCAGATTTTGGATTTCTTCAGTTTTGTAATATTAGTTACCTGGGGGATCGTATCCAAGTTTAAATACATTTACATTTCATATATAAATTTCATTTATTCTTCTGTTATTCCAGTAGCCTTAAAAGCATTTTGTACAATATTTTTACTACACCTATGTTTGGACTGTGACCCATCACGTGAGGTTGGGTATAGAATTTTCTACTTGTGGTGGTGTCCAAATCAGGCTCAAAATTTTCTACTATAAGAGTATTTTGAGTATTAAATTTTCCCACTAGGGATCCTTAATGTGTTACTTTGACTTTGTTATTTTTTTTTCAGAAGCAAAAATAAAATTAGAGGGCTCAACATAAAACCTGTGTCCACCATCCATATGTTCATTCATAGATTCCATCTTTTCATAAAAGTGGAAGTGATTAGGGCATCCAGGCTTCTGTGTTTTACAACATCAACAACAGAAGAACTTTTAATTGGGGCGATTAATTGATATCATGACACAGATAGATAATCAAGACAGCAGCTGGTCTGCGCACCGCGCTGCTTCCTACCTTGGGAGCCTTGGCATGCTTCCCACACCTGGCATCCTTGACAAGGCTGAGGTCTAACAGCTCCGTCTCCTGGAAGGCAAAAATGGAAAATTGCTAAGCAGCCACACAGATCTTTCTTTGTTTTATATCACTGACATTACTTTTTAAAAAAAATAATATTGTCTTGAAACCTCCCCACAGATTTCTCTGCAGTTGGGATATCCTCCCCACCTTTATCACTTCTCAGTTGAGTTGGGCTGGAAATAAGGGTTTCTAACTGCAACATGCTCAATTTATTTTATTTTATTTTATTGCGGAACCGGGGATTGAACTCAGGCCCTTGCGCTTGCCAGGGAAGCGCTTATTCCACTGAGCCATCTCCCCGGCCCAACATACTCAATTTAATATATAGTCTAACACATTTGAAAGAATGAAGTATATGCCTGAGTCTGCAGATGATCTTCTACACCATTCCTAAATCACGAAGCACCAGCCCTTCTTGTTCCACAGTTGAAATATAATCCTGAAAGTCACAGGATGTGGGCAAGAGAGCAGTCAGTGGGGATGGAGGATTAGGGAAGTAGCTGGAAATGATGATCATATGCCCACCGGGCTCCTTGGCTCAGAGCAAAGACAGGGACCTGCTTTCCCCACCTCTGACCTTTTGCACCCAGACCTGATGCTTAATCTTTGCATTCATTTATTTATGAGAGTTACTTTAGGGCACACGACAGATGACTGCTGCACTATCTTGCCTTCAGGCTGTGTGGTGAAGAACTACACATGCAAGACCAGGGAAGATACATCAATCCCAAAGTTGAAGTTCTGGTTTGAGAAGTCAGTGGAAAAAATGGCTTTTCTCAAAGAGCTCAAAGGCTAGTTCACAGAAGAGTCATTAAGCTTGGAGAAGAGAGGTGAGGAAGAAGAGAGAGGTATCATTCCTGGTACAACACAAGCAAGAGATTAGACAAAAATAGGCCAGAAGTTTGGGACAAACCTTGAGACATTTGGAGATAGAGACTATTGCAGGGAAAGGGGGTAGGGAGAAGGTTTGAGAGACACCCAAAAAGAGAGAATAGCAAAACTGCAGACATGGTGACAATGTGGGAAGGGATTTATATGTGGGACATTCAGTATTCCATCTGAGTGAAGGTCAGGTTGTTGAAGACAATTATGACAATTAAGACAGAGCATGAGAAACTCCCACATCTGCCTCAGGCATGAGCCACAAGGCTTGTGACATAGTGTCATCAACTTATGCAAAGGCATCTTCTACCAGCCAGACAGGACTGAAGCACAACCAGCTGAATGGTTCAGGGACAGCAGATGTCCAACATGTATTTCCTCAGAATGAACTAGTTGGGTGCAGACACCAAGCCCCTTCCCCCAGGAGAAACAATGAATTCTATTTCAGCTACCACAGACCCCTGGCTGGAGTGCCCACAGAATCGGATAGCCCCGACCGGGTACCAGCTACTGATATTTCCAGGCAGCTTTTTCAAATAGCTCCTGCCTATTTGAAATGTATACTGCAAAATCATCTGATTATTATCTTAAGCCTTAAGGAGAATAAGGGACTGAGGTGAGTGAAGTCCCTCCTATGGAGCTTTCTACAGAGCTGGTCCAACAGAACACCTGTCTCTGGCTCACCTCTTGGAGAGATGGAGGCAGAGAGGAAACTGGCTCTCCTTCCTTACTCATTTTCATAGTGTGCATTTCCTTATCCATATTTTAGAAAATCTCCTAAATATCCTATGCCATATATGGCCATTTGGACATTCTCCCAAGCCCCAAGTTATGTCTTGTGATAAGTAGCAACCAGTTAATGACCCTTGAAGACCACGTAGCTTAACAGATCATAGAGCTCTCCCTGCAAAAGTAGAAAATCTCCAGGTGAGAAAGTTGAGTAGCTGCCCCAAGTTTCTTTATTTCTACAGAAACAACAATCCAATCACTTTCTGGAGAAGGAGGAATAGGAAGAAGAAGTTGAAGACATTTGAAGTACAAGACTGGAATCAAGGAGAGACTGAGAGACGAGAGACAAGTGAAGGTAGGTAGGAAGTCTGGGGTGGGTGGCATGGGGGTAGAAAGGGACAGAGGAGGAGGAAGGAGCAGAAGTGGTGCTGGGATTTCTGTTTTTCTCAAAGGGACTCAAAAGCATGAACAGAATGACAGTACATATTGGAGATGCTGGTCTGCAAATGTTGGGTAAGCAGAAATGACATCATTAATTCACGATGGCATTGTTTGTTTGATGCTGAAAATGGGTCTAGCATAGATAAGGACTGAAGATCAAACCACAAACACAAACAAGTTATCCATCTCAAGGGGCTCAAAAACAGACCAACTGTCATTCCCCAAAGGAGACACTTCCAAGTGGCTGAAAGCATAGGCTACAGAGGACGAGGGCACTTTTTTTATCCAATTCCCAGGGATGAGGAGGCGTTTGCAGGCTTATAAATGTGTGTGTGTGTGTGGAGGGCAGAGATGGTTTCAGAGGGAAGAAAAAACAAATACAAGTGCACAGGGGCCAGAATTGTGTACAAAGCCCCACAAGGCGCTCGGATGTGTGGCAGGGACATCTGGAGAATAGCGACAACTTAGTTTCCTCACAAGCATGTTCTCGATGAGTGTTATAAAGCATTGACATTTGTGGTTAACTTATTTGTATGTGTTATATGATGACTCACATATATGTAGAATAAAATACTACACACATAATATATTTATCTAGTCTCATAGCAACATTTTCTTTTTCTTTTTTTCTTTTTAGGGAAGCGTCTACAGGGTGTTCAGGGTCTCACTACTAGATTGGATTCATAGTGATTCTCCTGTTTACAGCCTCCCAAGAGCTGGGATTACAGGCGCACATCACCATGCCCAGTCTCAATTGCCATTTCAGAGCATTTCAGGGGGCGGGGGGAATGGCAGGCCCAGGGAGCCAACCCCTGGTTCCTGTGCCTGCTTGCAGACGCTTTAATCCCCTGGCTATTTGGCCAGCCCCCAACATTCTCTATTCATTGATATTCCTCCTAGTTGAACAGACAATAGCTTAAATTGTTACTTATTTGATTACAAAAGAACCTACAGGTTCATTATCTGCAAAATAAAAATCTATGGAAAGACATACCGAACACTTTTCTGCTTTCAGCTCTGGAAGAAATGTTCATTCCTCCAAACCACAGAGGGGTGGTTAAAGCCAGCTGCCCTACAAATTCATTCTGATACCACAGGACTTAGAAACCTCTTTACCCCCGCGTGTAAAATTCTGTCGCAGGAAAACCACTGCAGACATCATCAATGTGGGCAATGCGGCACGGGTTAGACCCCAGTGGGAAAGCTGTGCATGGATTCATTTGGGTAGAATGTAATGATTAAAATTGTGTCTCGTGGTTCTATTAACATGGAAGAGTCTCCCCTCTGGGGTTCAGATGCCTCTTTTTACCTCCTCCACTGGGAAGAAAATGAGAAACCCAGTGCACAGAATCATGCAAATGGTACTTGGTCCATTAAAACTTTTCTAGGTTAATTTTCTTGCGTTAATGGCTTTAACAACCTGCTGTCATTATGCTAAAGCAATGAAGTGATCCCTTGCTTGGTTCATTGAGAAGCAGTGTTTCCCACTTTGTGGAATTCACTGCTCCTTCCATTAAGAGAGGGAGGCCACATGTATCTACACAGAACATATGAGTATAAATATGTGCCCTGAAATGAATAAAGTGGCAATTGTACCATCTGTTAAATGACGGTGATGATAATACGTTCCACTATCAGTGGATTGCAAAATGCAGTCTCACGAAGCATCCCCTGGAAGGCTTGTTGAGCTATACTGAGAACCTGGACCCCTCCCAGCAACATTCTTGGCTCACAGAGGTTGGGGCAGCCCTGGGAATCTGCATTTCTAATAAACCCATAGGTTATGGAGACACTGTGGGCCCAAGGGCCACACTTCAGGAAGTGCCGATAGGCACGCCCTCATAGGCTGTCTCCATAGGTACCCCCAGTTAAGAAACCCATATGATACTTGCACATTTTCCTTGTTTCTTTAGGGAAATGTCAAAAATATTACATCTTCTAAATTTAAAAGTGTGAGGAGTGGTGAACAATCTAGGCTTGAACTTGATCTACCCAAACACAAATGCCATCAAGTCCTAGTTTTAAACATTCCCTTGTATCCAATTTTATCTTTCGCAGGCAAACAGCTTTGTGCTGAGGGATTTGATCAACCACTGAAATCATTTTATGTCTGCTAAGAATACTTCACTATTTGGTCTTTGTTTTGTATTTAATAACACTGGAGATCTTTTTATAAAAATGAAAGAAAAATGTATGCTTCCTCTGACTTCTGAGCCCATCCAACAATGGAAAGGAGCTTTAGGGTTCTAAAGGCAGGAGATCTGCCTAGATGAGGCAGTGGGCCAGTGAGATAGCTCAGCGGACTAAAGCACCTGGTTAGGCAAGCTTAGGCAAGTACACGGACCACAGTTCAATCCCCAGCACCTCATGCCATGCCAGCCCCACCCCCAAGGTGGGCTGAGCTGGCCACAGAGTCTGGGCATAGTTGCACATGCCTGTAGTCCCAGTGCTGGGGAGGATGAAAGCAGGAGGATCACCATGAGTCAAAGCTGCATAGTGAGATCCTGCAACAACCAAATACATAAAAGAAAAAAAAAATTGGCTGTGAGGGATGCCTTTATTTCAAAATCATAATGAGAAGACTGGAAGTCACAGTGCTAGGATCCTCATACATGTTGTGAAGTGCTGGATATTTGCCTGTAGTAAGAATGGATACAAGTAAATTATGAATAAGCAGGGAATGACACATGCTTATAATCCCAGCACTCTGGGAGGTTGAGGTTGGAAGATTGCAAACTCAAAACCAGACTGGGCAACTTAGTGACTTAGTGAAACCTGTAGTACTTCAAGAACAAAAACAAAAGTGTGAATTAATGGTAATCAAGGATTTGAGAGGGTTATGTTTCCTTTAAAAAACAATTGGAATGAGTGATAAGAAAACTGAGGTTTGCAAGCTACAGGAGAACTCAGTGATCTCTGATGTTTACTACTCAGCAGAAAGATTTCAATCCATC